AAGACAGCAGAGAAGAAAAAGGTGTTTACGCGCGGCCGCGGGACGCTGAAGCCCTCGGCGGCTTTAGCAGGAAGCAGAGCGGGTTTGGCAGGCGGAGGGGTTAGTAACCCGGTGGACAGGTTGGAGTCCGGCGAGCTCATGGGAGTGAGAGTGACAGAGGAGATTTCCAGGCAGGAGAGCGACGTGACGCTGCGACACCAGAACAGAGAGGACGGCCTGTGCAGCAGGTACGCTTCGTCTGCTGCGCTCACGTGCAGCGGCTGAGGAAAGATGGCAGACAGAGAGGGAGCAGAGCCGGGACAGGGTGAGTCAGGAGAGCTGCAGGTCATTTCACCAACATCTGCCACAACTATAGTTGTATCGCCATCCTCTGCTGAGATCTGCTCCGTTTTTCTGATTCAAACCTGCTCAAAGTTCTGACCCGTTCAGTCCAAATACAGTCACAGTCAGAAGTTTAGTGTTTCAGGCTTCCAAAGATTTATTTAACTCGTTTCCTTAGAACGACTACAACAAACAACGTGAACGATTTCTTAAAACAAGTTTGAATTTTTGGCCCACACTGGGTCCAATCTTTGCACACGGTCCTAAATACTGTTCATACAAACATTCGTCTTAACCGTGGTTCTGAAATACAAGAACGTCTCGACTAGACGAGGCTGTTAACGTCCTGTCAGTGATCATGATCGACTGCAGCTCCTAGTTCCTCTTTGTCAGATGAAAACAGGTTCTGTTTGACTCCATGGATCAGCCGACACGCATCTGACCCGTTCAGATGGGACCCATTAAGATTAAGAACTGGAACCTGCTGGATCACCAGTGTCCCAGTCTGCCAGTGAAGACAGTTTTACATCATTGTGGACTGAGAGGACCAAGAAAGAAGCTTCTGAACCTTCAAGCTGGACTGAAACCTGCAGCTGTCCACATGGACGAGACAAATGTCTTCTGAAGACAAGTCAGACTGAGCTGTTTGGACACAAAGACAAGAAGGACGTTAGGAGGAGTTGAGTCTTTCAGACCTGAACACTGAACCAACTGTCAGGCATGGTGGTGGGAGCATCATGCTGTGGAACAAGGCGAGGAGGACTACCTCCAAGTTCTTCAGCTTCACCTCCAACCAACAGCAGGACGGTTGAAACCTGGACACAGTTGGGTCCATCAGGACAGAACTGGGTTCTGAATGGATCAATCAGGCTGACATCAGGGCCATTTGTGGACACTGATTAAAAGCCGGGTCTGAAACTAAGACACCAAACAATTTGAATGAACTCAGACATCAGGAGATCCTTGTTGATGGAGACAAAAAGGTCCAGGTGGGACAAAGAACGTTTAACTACAACGTTACAGGAGAAGCATCTATCAGAGAAACTCCACAATAAATTCAAACTTGTTTCTAAAACTCGTTACAGTTGTTCCAGGCTGGAAAACAAACAGTTGAAATAAATCTTAAAAAGCCTGCCATAAAAACCTTCATGTCCACGACGAGTCGATGGAAACGTCTGTAAACAAATGATTTCTGAAAGTGGCTTTAGGGTTTAGTCTTTCTGAAGAAAGATAAAAAAACCGATCAGTTAGGTCGTGGTGGTTAAAGAGGAGCTGCTCGAGTCTGAAGGAGGAGCAGGTTTCAGGAGCTCTGCAGCGGCTCCTCTTACCGGAGTGACGGGTGCGATCATCAGCTGCTCCTCCAGCTCCTGAAGCTGCTTCTTCAGCTCAGCGTTTTCCGTTTCCAGCTCCTGGATCTGCAGGAAACAAAACAAACAAAGCGTGAAGCAGAACCTCTGCTGATCCGTGACCCTGCAGGACCGTTTTCACTCAGGTTCCTCCACACGTTCATTTAAACACTCTAATAAATCAGAATTTAATCAGAAGCTGAAGCTGAATGATGTTGATGAAGCTTTGGGTGTTAAGGATTATTGTGCTGCACTTTTCTTAGACCTGTCTAAAGCTTTTGACACTGGATCATGACATCTTGTGTCATAAACTCTCAAAATTAGTTTCTCAGCTCACACCAGTGGCTGGTTCTCTAACTATCTCTCAGATCGGAGTCAGTGTGTTCAACATAATGGTACTTCTTCCAGTTATTTAACAGTCAACAATGGTGTACCACAAGGCTCAGTCTTAGGACCCACCCTCTTCACAATCTATGTAAGTCAATCAACCTTTATTTATACAGGTAAATCCCATTGAGCCTCGAGGACTCATTTACAAGAGAGACCTGATTTCAACAGAGTGATAACAACAATGGACAACAGCAACAACAATAAACAGTTATAAAAACTCATACTACAGTTTTTTGTTTTTTTGTTTTGTTTTTTAACAAATAGGATGGCTAAAAGGAAAAAGGTAACAAAACAAAAAAACAGCTAGATTCCAAGACAAATGTAGAAAACTAAAAACAGGAACATGTCTGCATTGGACCCTGCCAGGAGTCCAACAGATTCTTAAAGACACTTAGAGAGGTCAAGGTCGAGAGCTTCAAATCTTTTTGTAAGATATTCCAGGAAACAGGAGCGGAGTAGGAGAAGGCCCTTTTGTCTAGTTCAGTCCTCACTGAGGGAACACTGCAGGTAATAATGTCCTGAGAGCGCACTCCGTAGCTGCACTCACGCAGAGACATGTAGGAGGAGATGTATGAAGGCAGCAGACCAACAGACCTGTAAGTAATACAGGTCAGAGCATTCCTGATGCATCCTTATATTTCTATGCTGACGATAGAGTTGTTTATTGTCGAGCTAGAACACTTGCTAAGGTTTTCCAGCTTTTATAGTCTCAACATCCTCCAGTCAGAATTGTTCCGTCTCAAACTGGTGCTAAGCTGATAAAACCAAAGGGATGTTGTTTTCAAATAGGAAGTCGGTCTCAGCAGTTCTTCCCTCGATTTTATCTGCGAATGGTGTCCCTATTGAGTTTGTCGATTCCTACAAATATTCTCTCTTTAAAGCCTCATGTTAAAAACTTGGTCAAGAAACTGAAAGTTAAACTGGGTTTCTTTTTCAGAAACAGATCCTGTCTAACTCTGAATGTTTGGAAACACCTTGTAACTGCGACTTTCCTTCCCTCCATCGACTATGGTGACATTATTTACACAAACACTCCTACAAGCACCCTGCAGATGTTGGATGCTGTCTATCACGGTGCGCTAAAATTCACAACTGGCTGTGATTATCGTATCCACCACTGCACCCAGTATTCACTGGTTAACTGGTCTTCATTAGCTTCATGCAGACTCTCTCACTGGTACATTTTCATCTTTAAATCACTTCTTGGTCTGCTGCCTTCATACATCTCCTCCTACATGTCTCTGCGTGAGTGCAGCTACGGCGTGCGCTCTCAGGACATTATTACCTGCAGTGTTCCCTCAGTGAGGACTGAACTTGGTAAAAGGGTCTTCTCCTACTCCGCTCCTGTTTCCTGGAATACTTTACAAAAAGATCTGAAACTCTCGACCTTGACCTCTCTAAGTGGCTTCAAACATCTGCTGAGTTTTAATATTTTATATCGCTTTACAATGTAGCTGTTTTTTCAATATGATTTTCTTCCATTTATTTTTCGATTTATATGTTTGTTTGTTTTTTATGATTTTCCATTGTTGTCATCATTCTTTCTTATAACATGTCTTGTAAATGAGTCCTTGTGACTCAATGAGACTAACCTGTATAAATAAAGGTTGAATGAATAAATCAGGATTTAATCAGAAGCAGCAGAGTTTTTGTGTTTTTAGCTGCAATTCTATTACGAACTGCAGCTTCGGAGCTTTTTTCATTAATATTCATCCATGACGGTTTTCTGCTCGGCCTACTGAAAATGTAAAAACAATCAATAAGAACGAGCTCCGCACTGATGAATAAAAACATTTACTCTTTTCTGCAGGCCTCCGATCTGTTTCCTCGTCTCCACGTCTTTGCCTCCGGACTCCAAGAACTTCTTGTAGGCCAAGTCGAAGGCCTGACCGATGGTGAGCGTTATCTCCTCGGCCTGGAAGCAGCAGCACACCGTTCAGTGAGGAACGAGTCGACAGCCTGCAGCGCAATCCAACAAAAAGCAAAAACGTACACATTTCTCGCTGTCGAACACAAAGCACAGGTGCTTGTTGGACTCGGAGTCTTTGCAGATGAAAGTGAAAATCCTCTTGTCGGTTTTGTCGTCGGCGCAGAAGGATATCCTGTGCAGCTGACAGTTGTGCTGCACGTCCTGCAGCACAAACACCGTTTCTCTGTGAATCCTGTGAAAACCTCGTTCGCGTTCCACACAAAGTAACTCACTTTTGTTTTGGGGTCCAGAATCTTCACGCCGTAGATGGAGATCTGCAGCTCCACCTTGGGGGTCTTCTGACCCTCAGACTTCTTGATGTGTCTCTGAAACTGAGGAGAGTCAAAACATTATTTGCTGACTCGTGACAAAATGTCACGGGACATTTTTAAAACGACGTAAAAGCCTGGGTGACGAGCGGAGTGCCGGTGTCCCCCCTCACTGACGGATTCAAACAGTTGGTTTTCCAGATGAGTGTTTTTCGAAACAGGGAATGGAAGGAAACCTAAATGTTTTTGATGCAACATATTCAAGTGGGTAGAAGCCACACTGTGGAGAAGAACTGGGAGGGTTTTTTTTCTTGTCCAATCAGAGGAAACACTTATCAACCACCAGGCGCAATGACGGAGCCGGGGGGTGGTCAATGGTGGCCTTGCCCCCCCATAGATTAAACTATGGTCACCCCAATCGTGTGAGTAAAATGAAATGTTAATTTAACAATGTTCAGTCAGGTCATCTGGACAGTGTCTTTATTTGCTGAGACGTTTCATCCTTCATTCAAAGGACTTCTTCAGTCTGAGGAGCCACTAACAAACTGGAGTCCTGCAACCACCACACTCCCATAGTGGGAAAAAAAAAAAACAGTTTTCTAGTGATGAGATAGTTTCTGGGGCCCACCCTCTCTCCTGTCAACTCCTCTAAGGCAGCCATGCCAACGTGGATCAAAACACCAACAATTCATGCTCATTAATCCAGGTATAAATCCAACAATGTTCAGTCAGGTCACATGGATAGTTTCTTTTTTGTGCTGAGACGTTTCATCCTTCATCCAAAGGATTTATTCAGGCCGAGATATTATCACCAGTTATCACCAGAAAAGTGTTTTTTTTTTCTTCCCACTATGGGAGTGTGGTGGTTGTGGGACTCCAGTTTGTTTGTGGCTCCTCAGACTGAAGAAGTCCTTTGGATGAAGGTCTCAGAGAAACAAAAGAAAAAAAGAAACTGTCCAGATGACCTGACTGAACATTACTGGATTTGTACCTGGATTATTGAGCATGAACTTTGTGCAAATGTTACTTTGAAGCAATATAAAAACTAGAAAGAACACTTTCCTCAAATGATGTTGTCTCGTTTGTTGCTTTTTTCGTCCAAACTGCACAATTGAGTGGACATCTTTTAAAGATTTGCTGCCAGGTTTGATAAATGTTTGGTCAAAACGTGTAATAATGTGTTATAGGTCTGTTAGCACTCAACATATGTGTTGGGTTGACTCTCAGCTACTACCAAACCCCGAGTTATAGACGTTTCTTTAATAATCGATTGATTGTGGCAGCCATCTTGAAACAAGTCGACTCCAAAAGTGAATCAGTTGTGAATATTTGTTCAGTTCTGAGAGGTTTGTTAAAACCAAGGCGTTCATTCATGAGATATTTTGCTAACAGACATGATAAAACAAAAAGTGTTGGTGTAAAAACTGTAAATGTAAAAAAATTACAATGAATCTTTGAGTTTTATTGCAATATTTATAAAAATAAAGATAATGAAAGACAATAAATCTCTCAGAATGTGCCCATTTAAAAAAATATCTAAACTATTTCTGAATAAGAGCTACTAATGAATATAAATAGAAAAAAAAAAGTTTTTTTAAAGAAAACTTTACTATCGTAAGAAGATAGATACTGTAGAATCATCCTGCAGTTTCTTGTGAAGCCAAACTTTAGTCTGAAGCAACAAACAATAAGTTTGATCCACTCAAACATCTTCCTCAGAGACCCTACAAAACATTTCGGCTTCTTTGAAGCAAACAGCTAAAACAGCTGTAAAAACCAGAGTTCAAGCAGATTGTGTAAAAGAAGATGTTTACTGCTCAAAGCCCACAGACACAAACACGACCCGAGCTTTAGGTCGACATCTTTTCTCCTTTTATAAACGAAACTAAACGACTTTAAACTAAAGCAGATACTAAAGGCCATCTCCCAGGTGCTGCTTTAAAAAACGCTTTTCCTGGACGGGATCTCAGGAAACATAACTGAACTTGTCCTCTGTGTCTCTGGGAGAGTAACCACGGAGCCTGAAACTGGTTTCCAGGATCAGATCTATTGGAACAATAAAAGCACTGGTTTGGAAAAAGACACAAGCCCCCCCTCCCACAAGCGGCCTCGCAGATTCAGCTCCTGGCAGAAGAAGAGGCCAGAAAACCAGAGAGAGAGCTGCCAGAGCTGTTCCCAGACCTAAAGGTCGCTTTAAAGTGCTTCCACTGTGAGCGGGGTGGTATTTGTCCTGGAACCAGCCCAGGTTAAATGCCGTTACTGGGGTGGGTTTGATGAAACCGAGTCCTAAACAATCAATGAGACGAGTCCTCGGAGACATTTCTGGAACAACAGCTGCGGTTCGGTTTTCTGATTGAAACAAATGATGGCTGTTTTAGCTTCTAATCAAATGCTGCCCCATGAAATCCACTGAACAAGTCCTGTCCCAGTAACCTACCAGCACCAACCAGTCACAGGAAATATGAAGTCAGTTTGAAGGTTTTCCTCCTCTGGATCTAGTCTGTTCACCAGCTTTGAACTTTATTCAAACTCAAGTGTTCAAAAGCAACAGATTCCAGCCAAAATGGCTCAAACTCTGCTGCTCTGGAGCACACAGGTGGGTGTTGGTGCAATACCAGGGAGGAAAGACATCAGCAATGACCTTAGAGGAGGGTCAAAGGTCATTTCCAAACAACCAGACATCCATCATTCTACAGAGAGATGAGTCATTCATGTGGAAAACATTTAAGACAGCTGCACAGGAGTGACAGCAGATTCACCCCGAAGGTCAGACCATGTAATGCTCAGAGAAACGAGCTCCATTTGAGACTCTACGGGCCTCAGTTAGCACGTTAAAGGTCAAAGGTCAAAGCAGGACAAACCGTAGCAGCAAACCTAGGTTTAGAAACTTTCATCTAAAGGCACCACAAGACTGCTGGACCAGAACCAGACCAAAAGACAGATGTTTACCCAGAATGCACTGCAGCAAAGAGCTCCTCCCAGCTGTCAGCATGGTGGTGGAGGGCTGATGGTTTGGGCTCCCTGCAGTCACTGAGTGGACCATGAACTATTTTGTAGACCAAAGGGTTCTGGAGTCAAACGTGAGCCCATCTGTCTAACAGCTGAAGCTTGGACCCAAGTGGGTCCAGCGGAACCAGGATCCCCAACACAGCAGCTGATCTACAACGGAACAGGTCAGAAAGAACAGAACCAAGGTGCTGCAATGGTCCAGAGTGAGTCCAGAACCTGGAACACTTTGATGGATGTTCAGAGAGCTGAGCAGAAACCTCAGTGAAGCGAACGAACAGAAGAGTGGGCCAACTTCCCTCTACAACCACGAGAGACCGATACTATAACAGAGTTCTTGCTGCTGATGGAGGTTCTGTAAGCTGCTGGATCAGGGGCTGGGACCACCATCAGGGGCTGGGACCACCAGTCTTTTACAAAGTTCATTTGGTTTAATAAAAAAAAACATAATCTAAATGTCAGAAGATGGACTTTGGATTTTTCAGGAAGAAACGCGACCGTCTGAGCGTTTCAGCAAGCAGAATATTCTGCTGTTGAATATTCCATCTATCAGGGGACGGAGCGGCCGAGCAAACTGCTTATTCAGCACTTTGAGACCTCCACGCCTGGAGCTGGAAAACTCCAAGGGCACCTTGTTGGTTATGGACTCGATGAAGGAGGGGAGGGAGGCATTTGTCACTCCCACCTCCCCTTCACCGAGTCAAAAATCCAATCTGCTCACTCAACAACAGTCTGTGCTCCGCTCCAGGCGGCAGCTGGTTCTGGTTCTGAGGACGGGGTTTACCTTCAGCTTCCTGACCGCATCCTTCACAACTTCTGTGCCTTTTGGAGCTTCGACCTCTGTGTTTCCCAGGAACTGGAGACAAACAGAAGAGCAGATTTAAGTTGATGTGCTGCAAACATTTCGCTCCTTCACTGAGCTCCAGCAGAGGGCGCTGTTTCCCCGGAGGAGGGATTTCTTCCAGTCTGCACGGAGCCTGTTCCAGTTCAGACACAGTCCTGCCCTTAAAGGTTGGAAAAACAAAACAAGTGGAGTGCAGCAAGCAGCTCACAGGCAGAGCATCTGTGTGAGAAAATATCACGACGGGCAGAAAACATCGTTTCACGTCTAAAACAAGAAGGTTCCATGCCGTGGTCATAAGAGCCAATCAACCGACTTTATTAAGATTTCATCTAAGAATATAATTTAATCCATCTAAACAATCATGCAGGAATATAAAATACATTTATATAGAACATATATAAAACCGAAAAAGCTTTTTAATTAAGGCGGGATAAAAAATCTAATTTACACGCAATTCTGTTTTTCATTCTGCAGCTTCATTTAATTTTTAGTAAACATTTTGTTACCTTTTAGCTACCCTTTTGCTACTTTTAGCCAACTTTTTGTTGCTTTTATAAAAGTTTTGGCTTTTATCTACCTTTTTGCTACTGTTAGCATCTAGCTAGGTTTTGCTACTTTTAGCTTCAAGTGAGCATATTCCTACCTTAGCCTTTTAGCTAACCTTTTGCTGCCGTTAGGTTTCAGCAAAGCTTTTGCTACTTTCTCTTAATCAACAATTTTATGCTTTTAGCTATCCTTTAGCTTTAATAAGCTATGTTGCTATTTTTAGATTTCAGCCTGCTTTTGTAACATTTAGCTGGCATTTTGACAAGTTTAGGTTTTATTAAGCATTTTGCTGCTCTGGGGTTTTAGTTAACAATTTGCTTCTTTTAGTTTTTAGCCAGTGTTTAATTTATTTTTATTTTTAGTGCTTCTTCAGCTTTAACAAGTTAGTTTTAGCTTCTTTACGATGTTTCAGTAAATCACAGTTTTAAAGAAAAAGCAGTTAAGTTAAAACTGCAGTCCTGTCGTGGGGATAAGTGCCCCATTAATTCTCAATTATTATTAATTTTATTATTATTATTTTCTCAACATTTCTTCATTTATTGCTGGTTCATTCACCAGGTCCCTTAGGTTTAATCTCTGCGCTTGGCTGGTGTTCAGCCAACAATTATTATTGTTTTATTATTATTATCAATATGTTTAATAACTTGTTGGCAGAAGAAGGAGAGAAACACCAAACAGTTTGTGCTAAAGAGTCCGATGACAGTGGGCTGGGGGGGGGGGGGGGGTGTCTATAGAAAGTGTCAGCTCTGCTGCGCTCTGACAAATGGACTCTCCACACACTCGTGCTCATGTTTGCCCAGAATAGGAAAGAGCAGTGCGTTGTTCTGACTGGTGCATTGTGGGACGTTTCACCAGGCAAATCAAGCCAGGAGGCTCATCCATCAGCCGATACATGCAGCTGAAAACAAATCGCCTCGCCCCCCTCTGGTTGCAGACTCGACACACTCAACCTTGCGGCAGGTCTGATAAGTTCATGGAGATGACAGAATGAAAGCCTGATGGCAGCGCCCCCACCCCCACCCCCACCCACCACCCCCACCCTGCAGGCTCAGTCAAAGAGCGGCTCTTCACTGGGTCGAATTGATACCAAGCAGCTAAAAGCTCCAGTTCTACTGACCAAAACAAACTGGTCTCAAACTGAAACCCAATGCATGCCATCACTGTTTGCATGATTTGTGTTTACATGTAGCTCGGTAGATTTGAGTGATTTTTATTCTTTGGGTCTTAGTACAGAGATGCAACGCGTTTTTGTCTTCTTTTGATCACCCAACAGAGAATAAACAAAACAAAGTCAAACAGGCAACAGAATGTTAACAGTTGTCAGGAGTTCCAATAAAGTTCAGTCAGGTCATCTGGACGGTTTCTTTTTGGTTGAGACGTTTCATCCTTCATCCAAAGGACTTCTTCAGTCGGAGGAGCCACAAACAAACAGTCCCACAAGCAGCACTCTCACATTGTGGACCAACCTGTTTGCTTCTGGGGCCTGCCCTCTCCCCCATTGACTCTTCTGAGGCAGCCATAGCCAAAGTGGTTCAAAACATCAAAGTCCATGCTCAATAATCCAGGTAGAAAATCCAACAAAGTTCAGTCAGGTCATCTGGATGGTTTCTTTTTTTGTTGAGACATTTTGTTCTTCATCCAAAGGACTTCATCAGTCTGAGGAGCCACAAACAAACTCAGCCCCACAAGCAGCGCATTCGAATTGTGGACCAACCAGCCTTCTGGTGATAAGAGCTAGATTATTAGATTAAGATTATTGAGCATGAACTTTGATGTTTTGAACCACTTTGGCCATGGCTGCCTCAGAGGAGTCAACGGGGGAGAGGGCGGGCCCCAGAAACCATCTTATCACCAGCAAACTGGTTGGTCCACAATGTGAGTGTGCTGCGTGTGGGACTGAGTTTGTTTGTGGATCCTCGAACTGATGAAGTCCTTTGGATGAAGGACAAAATGTCTCAACAAAAAAAAGAAACCATCCAGATGACCTGACTGAACTTTGTTGGATTTTTTTTTTTTTTGCTGGATTATTGAGCATGACCTTTGATGTAGTCAGGATGTGCTTTCTATTTTTATTTTTCTGTTTTCATTTTGTTTGGTTTATTCCCGTCCCGACCTGCGTTCCTCTGGGAGCAGCCACTTCTTCCTCGGTCAGTTTTGTCTCCTTCAGCTCCTGCCCCGCCCACTCTCACCTGTCCCCAGTTGTCTTTACCCCAGGTGTTTCCACTCCACTCATCAGCCCCTCAGTTTGTAGTTCGTCATCAGTCAAGGCTCGTTTTTCTGCGTTTCTTTCATTCTGTAGGTTGTTGCTGCTTTTTCTTTTTATTAAATACTTTAAATATTCTCGTCCCTGGGTCCATATTCTCCACAAACTGTGACGCGTGTCCCACTGAAAGTTGTGCATGTCCATTAAAGGTGGATAATCATGTACAGCAAACACCTCAATTCAAGACCTAATGGATGGATTTTATTGGAAATCTCAGAAAGTTGTTGATGAATGTACACTTTTAAAATCCGAGGTTTTTAATCTGAGGTGAGGTTCAGTTGGGCCTTTTTGACTTAATAAAACAGAAAATAAAACAAATGGTAATAAATAAAAAAAGGACAGCACTCCTTGAAGGAATGCATATCGCCCACCAGCATTAACTCCAGAGTTTTAAACTAAGATCTTCTGTTGATAAATGACAGAGTTAAAGCCGTTTTGGTCAAATTCATGTGCGAGTTGAGGATGACTCTCAGCTACCACCACATCAACCTTTAGCTCAGTACGTTTAAAACTGTTTGCTAAAGTTATATTGAATTAGGTTAACTCTAAAGGTTAAAAACCTCGGATTTTAAAAGTGTAAACACGGTCGAGAGCAGAGAACGCGTCCAGAAGCTCCATGTTTGTGAAACGCAGACGCACGTTCCTCTGATTATGTGAGCGGTGCAGCTTCAAACTGGTCGGGTTCTGGTTGAATCGTCGGGGTGAGTCGGACCTCGTCCATCCTGCAATGGATTATTTTCATTTTAATCAAAACAGAGATTTTCCACTTCACTTGCTACTCCGGTCCACAAACAAAGTTTCTGGTGAAAATCAAAGAGAGATTTTTAAAAGCTCAAGGGTCACTGGGTGTGATTTGTTGGCAGAGTTTATGTTTGCACGGCAGCAAAAAACTGTAAATTGTCTGAAAAGAAAAACCGAGCAGGAGTAAAGTGGAGTGGGTAACCTTCAGAGAAATCCTCTGCCCGGAAGAACGCTGTGAAGGCAGGACTTCAAACGAGGAGTTTATACCATATTTATTTTATTGAAACTACAGAAAAACATGTCGCTTTGTGAAGTAAATAACAAGAAGTCGCCTGCAAGAATTTAATTTTACAACTAAAGACCTCACTTTCTTTGAAGAAATTAATCTCAATCACCACCTCATGCCATACAGTTACACTAAGATAATCTTATTTTGAAAATAATTGGTCAAATGTTAAAAATAACATTATTTATATATTATTATTATTATTATTATATATTATTATTAAAAGATTCTAGAATTGCGCTGCTCAGGTTGGCTGCATGTTGGAGCAGCTCTGTTACTTTCATTCGGAGATTTTGCTTTTGGAAACTTTAATTCCTCTCTTTCTAGATGTAAATCACTTTTTTTTTGGATGATTGTTTCCTCTTGAGTCGGACGCTGTGCAGCTGGAAGGATTTTTACTGAAACTTTTTTACTTTTGGACATTTGTTATGATGCGTAACCATGGCAACAAGGTGGTTTTTACAACCGGGAGCAGCTGATTAACATCTCAGAAGTTCAAATAATATCTCAGCTACAGTCCCAAATCTCAAATGAGTTGAAAAGGAGGCACCGTGGAGGGATTCCCGTCTCCCTGCCGGCTATGCTCGAGTGCCTGACCACTGAGATCCTGGAACTGGCAGGAAACACGGCTCGTGACAGCGGAAGGACCGGGATCGTCCCCAGGCACCTGCAGCTGGCTGTCTGCAGCGACGAGGAGCTAGGCGGGCTACGGGAAGGAGTGACCCGACATTCGGGTGGTCCTGCAGCCCGGGGTAACCAGAGGCCAGCCGAGTCTGTGTGGATGGATCGGACAGCATATGCGGCCAGTTTTTTTCGGATCCAGACCTTTACAAAAGATCCTTCCTGCATACAGCCATCAGCATCTATAAAATCTCTTAATGAAACAAGGATAACGAGTTACAACAACATTTAATTTCCCTTTGGGATTAATAAATTATTTTTGAGTTGAATTGTATTTATGAACAGACATGGCCTTTCACTGTGACTCTCAGCTACTACCACATCATATCTTAGTCCTCATATTGTCAGGATTTGCAACAGAACTGTTGGTATAGCCCTACAGAACCTCACTGACCTACACAAGGTGAGGTCAGTGAACAAGGCCAGGCTGATTCTGGCAGATCCTGATCACCCACTCCATGGTGAGTTCAGGTTCCTTCCATCTGGATTCAGGTATCTGCTGCCCAGATGTTGGATGAACAGACAGAAAAACTCATTCATCCCTGTAGCGATCGGACTTCTCAACAAACAGTGTTGATGTCTGTTCTGTTATTTTAATATCTTGTGTTGTATGGATGTTTTGTGTGTCTACTGACTGTGAAACGAATTGCCCCTTTGGGGATATCTGTATGACTGATTTTTTGACTAACGTTGATTAACTGTGGCAGCCATCTTGAATTGGCTTGACTCCAAAAGTTTTTGTTTATTCGATGATGACTTTTGTTCAAATCCATTCATGTTCCTGTGCTCAAACTTATGAGTTTCACCTATGACCTCCGGAGAGACCTCGTCATAAACAACCGGATTCCTCCGGTAGTCCGGCAGCCAGCACAGCCACGACACGTCAAGTCAGGAATCTCATCATTAAATGCTGACGGTCTGTTTTTATTTCACCAAATGTACGTCTCGCTGCTTCGCCCTGGAATTTGCTGCATCGCTGAAGTTTCACCTCCGCTCCAACAAAGCATCTCTGAAGCAGAGGAAGGACGATGACAGATCATAAACTGAGCGGGGAGAGACGCCGACACCAGGAGGCTCTCCTCGTTTAAAGAGCTGGCAGTTTGAAGAGACCTCTTGTGTAACAACATGATTCCCGTCGGCACACAGAGAACCACAGCTCAAGCTGCGTCCGCATCAGGACCCGAAAGGTTGCAGGTTCAGAGGGAGACAGGAGCCACTTTGCAGAAACAACCCCGATGCTCCCATTAGGAGAAAATAAAGACGGTATTCTCAAAATAACCGACAGCACCGAGGAGAAACAGCTGCTCAGGAGGATTAATGAGGCAGGATCAAATTCCTGACAGCTCCTGCTTACCGATTGCCAAATCTTTCCCCAAATTAAATGCACGTTGTCGTTTCCTCCACTTATGGAAACCTCAAAGTGTATTTAATAAATGGAGCAGAGTGCCGCAGTCTGAAGGTGATTCTTACCTTGGCGTTGTAGGCAATGTAGTGCTTGGCCAGAGCCTCCGGGGTGTGCATCCATGACTTGTCTGAAAACAGAACAAAACAACACTCAGCGGTTTCCTGCTTCAGATCCACATTTAGCCACATTTAGGTATTCTCTCTCTGAGTAGCTGGAGAAAAAAAAAAAAATGGTGAGGAAAAACATCACATTTTTCACTCAAACTGAACGTCATGTTTGAATGAACTCTTGGCAACATTTCTCCCAATTTTAGATTAGAGTTCACATCCGTATCCAAACTAATAAACTGACTTTTTTTTTGACAAAAATTAGTTAATTTAGACTTTGACGGCAGCAACGCAACCTAAAAAAGTTTGACCAGGTGCAACAAAAGGCTATTAAAGTAAGTGGTTGTAAGGTTTTAGAAGTGAAAATGGGCAGGGGCTCACCAGTATGCAAAAAACTGTGTTTAAAAATAATGGAACAATTTTCAAAATAATGGTCCTTGTCAGAAACTTGGGAAGACTGAATCTACAGATCATAATCTCATCAATAGATTAGAAGAATCTGTAGAAATCTTTGAGCTTAAAGGACAAGGTTGAAAGTTAAGTATTGGTTGGTCGGCTTGGAGTCTTCAGGGGCTACTCCATTAAAACCAGGTCTGGTTCTGTTCTGGGCTCAGGATCATTTCCACAGATCATTGTCTGTAAACACAGTTCATCCACAAATGCTGCTTAAAGCTCTATCAGGCAAAGAAGGAGCCAGATGTGAACACCATCCGGAGCCGCTGCCGTCTTCTCTGGACCAGAGCTCATTTCAAATGGACTGAGGTGAAATGCAGAACTGTTCTGTGGTCAGACGGGTCCAAATCTGAAGTTCTCTTTGGAAACCAGAAACAACATCCTCCATTTGAAAGAGGGAATGAACCATCCAGCCGGTTATTAGCTAAAAGTTCAAAACCCTGTCTCTCTGATGGTATGGGGGTGCATCAGTGCTTCTGGCATGAGCAGCTGACACATCTGGAAAGTCTCCATCAACATAGAAAAGTGCCTACAGGTTTTAGAATATCTGCTCCTATCCAGCGAAGAAGAGGGCCATTCCAGTCTGTTATCAAACATCAGCCTCTCTGACGATGATCTACAGTTTAGAGGATCCCCACTGTGAAAGAGCTCATAATCCACCAGGTCAAAGGTCAAGAGTAGTCCATACAGGGTTTTGTTCATTCTTACTTTATATATAGAAAAACACTGACTGTTGCTCAAGGCACCAATAAATCTTAACACTTTGCCTCTGGACAAGTGCAGCCATGTAGGAACCAACAAACAAAAGAATCCTACCAAGAATTAACTTGATTGTCCATCGGTCCTGCTGTAAATGAAAATTAGCATTCTGCTGCAGAGGACACCGTGAACCTGAATCGGTGACACCTTCCAAGTCGAGACGAACACAATCAGCTTACAGGAGCTGGGCACCCTCGAGGTCACATTCATGCATATTTTGCCAGAAGATTCATTACGACGGTAATAAGCCGTTGACGAGCAGGAAATGAAGAGTGAAGAGGAGTAATGGGATGATCTGGACTGGACCATCAGTGACCTGTGAAGACCTCAGATCTGCTGCTCGCTTCCATAATGTTCAACAACCCTCCTCACAACAAACTGCAGACAAAGTTACCACCTGTGCAATAATTCACCGTACATTATAGCCATTAAACACATGATTTAATCCGGCGAGGAGAAATACGACCTAATCAGACGACATTACGATTAGTTTATCGTTATAACTCTTCACTAAGAATAAAGCGGTGTCACAGCGCTGGTTATTGAAACACTTAAAGCCTTTAGTTACCTGCTGCAGTACAATCATTTTTACCAAACAGGTTTCAAATAAATTGAACAACCTGTGGAGGATTGCACATCGCCCGACACCTTTCAAGCCAAAGTCTTAATCCAAGAACTTCTATGTTCTGTTATCAATCAGAGTATTGAGGATGAGTCTCAGCTACTACCGCACCAACGTTTAGTTCAATATTTGTAAAACGGACCAATTTGTATCCATTTTTGTGTTTGCTAAAGTCAGTTAAATTTAAATCAGACCGACTCCCAAACCTAATGCCAGTACGTGTTGTTTTTTTTAGGTTAGTGATTAGATGCATTCCCTTTAGGTTACTGGGTTTTCTTTTTTGTGTATTGACAAACACAAAAAAAAGATCCAGATCAAAACCTCCCAAACATGAAGGCGAACCTCACCGTGGAAAACCAGACCCTGACAAACCACAAACTGATTGAGGGCACAGGAAAAGCACAAAGACTGATCAAACGCCAAGAATTTCAAGAGTGTCAATAAATGTCAAAGGAAAAGTTTGCAAGACGGTGGTGAGACCAGCTATGCTGTATGGTCTGGAGACAGAGACATGGACAAAAAGACAGGAGACAGAACTGGAAGTGGCGGAAATGAAGATGGTGAGGTTCTCCTTGGGAGTTACAAAGATGGATAAGATTAGGAATGAGATCATCAGAGGTACAGCACAGGTTGAACAACTGGGAGATGAAGTTAGAGAGACCAGACTGAGATTATTTGGACATGTCCAGAGGAGGGACAGTGGGTATATTGGTAGAAGGATGTTAGAAATGCAGCTGCCAGGAAAAAGACAAAGAGGAAATATCTGGATGCAGTTAGAGAAGACATGGAGGTAGTTGGAGTTAAGACAGAGGATGCAGAGGACAGAGAGAGATGGAGGAGGATGACTCGCTGTGGTGACCCCTGAAGAGGGAAAAGCCGAAAGAAAAATAAGAAGATCCTGTTTACCAGGTCTGCCACGCCCAATCTCACCGGCGACATGTTTCATTTAGCTCAGCTGTTTCTCATCTCCTCCAGCCTCAGTCCATCTAACCTCACAGTTGAGGTGGTTTGGGCATCTGGTAAGGATGCTCCCTGGGTGCCTCCCTAAGGGAAGTGCTTTGGGCATGTCCAGTTGGGAGGAGACCTCAGGGAAGACCCAGGTCACATTGGAGATACTATGTATTTTGATTGGCCTGGGAACGCCTTGGAATCTTCCCAGAAGAACTGGAAGAGGTGGCTGTGGAAAGAGATGTCTGGGCCTCCCTGCTCAAGCTGCTGCCCCTGCGACCCGACTTCAGAATAAGCAGAAGATAATGGATGGATGGATGAACATGTTTCTTCTTTCTTCAGAGGTCTCTGCAGCGAACTAACTCGAACGAAGACATGGCAATTATTTTTACACAGTATGCCCTTCCTGACGCAACCACAGACCACCGAGCTACCACAGCCCTCTGTGTGGAGCAGAGAGCTGCTATCTAGGACACCCAGAGGAGCAGATGGTGGGGGTTAAGAGCCTTGCTCAAGGGCCCAGAGTGGGACGAATGAGGGGGGGGGCAGGTGTGGGTGCTTCACCTACCCCACTCACATTTTTGATGTTGTCGGTAGCGGGGTTTGAACCGACGATTTTCCAATCACAGGCCCACCTTCTCTAACCTCTGCGCCACCACTCCCCTTAACTTTAGTCCCAAATATGTTAAAATATTTACATTATTCAGATATTTTTTTCAAATAATTGTTGGCTTTTTGTCTGTTGCTACTTTTAACTTTTAGCTACTGTTTTGTTACATTTAGCCTTTAGCTATGTAAATAGAATAGAATAGAAGCTATTCTTCTACTGTTCTGCTACTATTAGCTTTTTGCTCTTCTGCTAGTTCTGTCTTCTGCTTTGCTCGTTTTAGCTTTTAGCTCTTGTTTAGCTTATTTTAGCTGTTGTTCTTCTGGTTTTAACTTCAGCTTCTTCTGCAGTCGTTCAGTGATCTCATTCCATTTTGACAGAAAAAGATAATTTCTTTATTTTGGTTTGGAAGAAGAAAAACCAGCTGTTTGTGTTTAATGTGCTCACATCTGTCTCCAGGTGTTTATTAGTCTATGTTTTATGCTTTTCACTTTAATGTTTTCATTAAATTCAACAACACAAACATGTTTTGGACCATTTTTTCCCACCAGTCGACTTTAACAAGCGTTGCAGAAACCTAACGTCTCGAGGAAGCCAAAGGGTCGGGTCTCTGTTGGTGTTCTGATGGAGGAGGTCACGGTTGGGGCAGACGGGGCTGGGGGCAGTAAATGGTCAGGGGGTGTCGGCCTGTCTCTGTGGGGTTTGGTTTTCTGTGGAGCTGCTCTCTCTGTAACAACAGCCCTCGTTACTCGACTGCAGCCAGTCTCTGAACACACCGTCTTGTTCCGACCCCCTCCCCCCAGATATATGTGCACAGTTTGAAATGCAGAGGAACTAAAGTAATGGAGCAGAAGTTCCATTTCAAATGGAAGTTTAATGTGAGGTGATGGAGGAACACCTGTCCTTTTAGAAATGACCATAAACTGCTACTAAAATAGAAATCCTGATTTGGGAAAGTGAGTTAGAGCCAAACGTCATAACAGGCCGTGGCACCGCCGGGGGTCTTGGACGTTTTCCTCGGCTTCAGGCTTTCAGGTCTGAAGATTCACAACAAAACGACGGAGCAGATGGCTGAAGAAACATCAAGCTGTTCCACAAGATGGAGTCCAAAATACCTCGTCCTCAGAATCTGGGCACAGTTCAACACAACGGTTTGAGTTTTAGACACAGGAAGCTGCGTGTCTGTTACAGAGCGCCCGCCTATCCACCCATCCATCCATCCATCCATCCATCCACCCATCCATCCATCCACCCATCCATCCATCCACCCATCCATCCATCCATCCATCCATCCATCCATCCATCCAATCATCCATCCATCCATCCATCCACCCATCCATCATACAATCATTCATCCATCCATCCATCCATCCATCCATCCATCCAATCATCCATCCACCCACCCATCCAATCATCCATCCATCCA